GGAACAGAACTAGAACAGAACTGGAACAGAACTACAACAGAACTAAAGGAGAATCTATAATAAAAAATTTTGTTACTTTGTAAGAAACGACTCCCACTTGTCAAATTAAGTCATCGTCTTCAACTGATATAATAAAATTTGCCATAAATTTTGTGCCTCCCAAAACAAAGTTCATCACAAACTAAATGGGTATAAATATGTATGTATGTATTTGGTAACCTTACAGGTAATAACTTTTCATTAACCATAAACTTAAAACCACAAAAAACAAACAAAAAACTTTTAGAAAGCAACAATGGATGCATATTGAAATGGAAATACATGAAGAAAAATGTCAACAAAAAGAAAAAAAAGTATGTGTGGATGTAGGTACATCTGTATGTAATAATAAATGTAAAAAGGCCGGATGAGGAAAGGAAAACATGATTCATTTAATATATTTATATGCATATAAAAAATTAAACAATTACTCACCTAGAACAATTTTACTAAATAATCCTACAGTAAAAATAGCAATTTGACTGCAGATGAACCAGAGACCATTAGGATTTTTTAATCTCTCAAATACCCAATCGATATTATAGGGTATATGAACCGGTTTTGTTGCTGTTGTGGAAGTTGTTGCTGCTGCTGATGCTGCTGCTACAGGCATTTCTGATGTATGTGAAGGTTGTTGCAAATGTTTTAATTGCATTTTTTGATAAGACTCTTCCTTGGTGTATGAGGAAAATACTGATGATGTTGATGTCTTCATATTGTTGCTTTTGGAACAATATTGTTGTGTTGCTGATGTTGTATTATCATCAACAATTGTTTCAGCTTGAGTATGTTTACGCAGTGTTTGTTGGTGATGTTGATGCTGGACGTGATACTGGGGGCGGAGAGAAGTATTTGTTACTTTTGATTTCGTTTCTTTTTTTTCTTTTTTTGTTTTCACTTTACATTTGTGTTTTTTTAAAACAATTACAGCACAAAGATTAAACAAATTAAACTTAAATATATTTTGTTGTTGTTTTTTTTTTTTTTTTTTTTGCAAAAATATTACATTATTTGTACTATAGTTTTATTATACACACGACGTGGTATTTCTTATAAAAATATCATTATTTAAACTATTTTTTGTTTGTTTTTTATGAATTTTAATTTTTATTTGAGCTTTTCTTTGTGTTTCAAAGGATATGCTATTAGTTAAGCAGCTAGTTCTGTACTCTTAAACAATTTTCTTTTTCTTCCTTTCTTTCTTTGTTGTCATCGGATGATGACAAAAATAATACTAAAACTGCATTCAAATATTTTTCATTCAAACGTCACTAAAAACAAAACTATTTCAATGCCTGCACTCAGCGAAATTTTTAAAGCTTTATTGTGTTAATAAGGAAATTATATTTTAATATATTTTTACACACATTAATTTGTTTATAATTTATTAAAAAAAAATGTTAAGAAAAATTCACTGAGTGTATAAAAATCCACTTATATTTTCCTACTTAACATAAGAGTCAAGAGTTTTAGCTATGAAATGCGCATATAAAATAAGAAAAATCCCCCAAAGAAGAGCATTTAAAAGAGAAAGTGTAAACCTTTTAAGAGCACCACTAACACCACTAAAGAAAATGTTGAATATTTCAGGAAGTATAAAACATTTAATGTGCTTTCAAAAATTTACTTATTTTTTTTATAAATTAATCATACGTCATGTCGCACCAGCCGAAAAATAAAATGTGTTTTACTTATTTTTAGAAAAAATTTAAACTTTTATCTTAAAAAAAACTAATTTGTTAATGATTTGTTGAAATGTTAAACTTAGTATTTCCTTTGACAATCATAATTCCAAATTCGTATTCATTTTAATTGTTCTATATACATTTATATAACCGCTCTACAGACACGACACGACTAAACGGTGGGAAGTGATGACAACAACTGAAATATTCGGCCACTGACATGAATAGCAAAAAAAAAAAATTGCTTCACATTGGTTTACATTAAATTGCTACTCAATTTATATAGAATACTTTAAAAAAATATTATAATAGGTAAAGGTTAAATTAAACAAAATGTGATGCGATTATAAACTATTTCATTTATTTTTCTCATTTCCACATTAAATGTGGAGGAATTTCAAAAAGCACAAAAAATTGAACTAAACTAGAACTGAACCAGAACTAGAACTGAACTAGAACCGAACTAGAACCGATCTAGAACTAGAACCGAACTAGAACCAGAACCGAACTAGAACCGAACTAGAACTAGAACTAGAACTGAACTAGAACTGAACTAGAACTGAACTAGAACTGAACTAGAACTGAACTAGAACTGAACTAGAACTGAACTAGAACTGAACTAGAACTGAACTAGAACTGAACTAGAACTGAACTAGAACTGAACTAGAACTGAACTAGAACTGAACTAGAACTGAACTAGAACTGAACTAGAACTGAACTAGAACTGAACTAGAACTGAACTAGAACTGAACTAGAACTGAACTAGAACTAGAACTGAACTAGAACTGAACTAGAAACTGAACTAGAACTGAACTAGAACTGAACTAGAACTGAACTAGAACTGAACTAGAACTGAACTAGAACTGAACTAGAACTGAACTAGAACTGAACTAGAACTGAACTAGAACTGAACTAGAACTGAACTAGAACTGAACTAGAACTGAACTAGAACTGAACTAGAACTGAACTAGAACTGAACTAGAACTGAACTAGAACTGAACTAGAACTGAACTAGAACTGAACTAGAACTGAACTAGAACTGAACTAGAACTGAACTAGAACTGAACTAGAACTGAACTAGAACCGAACTAGAACAGAACTAGAACAGAATTAGAACAGAACTAGAAAAGAACTAGAACAGAACTAGAACGGAACTAGAACAGAACTAGAACAGAACTAGAACAGAACTAGAACAGAACTAGAACAGAACTAGAACAGAGCTAGAACTGAACTAGAAAAGAACTAGAACAGAACTAGAACGGAACTAGAACAGAACAGAACTAGAACAGAACTAGAACAGAACTAGAAAAGAACTAGAACAGAACTAGAACGGAACTAGAACAGAACTAGAACAGAACTAGAACAGAACTAGAACAGAACTAGAACAGAACTAGAACAGAACTAGAACGGAACTAGAACAGAACTAGAACAGAACTAGAACTGAACTAGAACTGAACTAGAACCGAACTAGAACAGAACTAGAACAGAACTAGAACAGAACTAGAACTGAACTAGAACAGAACTAGAACAGAACTAGAACAGAACTAGAACAGAACTAGAACAGAACTAGAACAGAACTAGAACAGAACTAGAACAGAACTAGATCTGAACTAGAACTGAACTAGAACTGAACTAGAACTTAACTAGAACTTAACTAGAACTGAACTAGAACTGAACTAGAACTGAACTAGAACTGAACTAGAACTGAACTAAAACTGAACTAGAACTGAACTAGAACTGAACTAGAACTGAACTAGAACTGAACTAGAACTGAACTAGAACTGAACTAGAACTAAACTGAACTAGAAAAAGGTTTATAAAATTTTTCACATTAATTCTACAGTGTTCAATCCATTGTATGACCTACACTCCAAAATTTAAACTCTTATTGGGCCATTGAGAGTAGAACTGAACTAGAACTGAACTAGAAAAAGGTTCATAAAATTTTTCACATTAATTCTACAGTGTTCAATCCATTGTATGACCTAAACTCCAAAATTTAAACTCTTATTGGGCCATTGAGAGTAGGGTACCATATGATCGACAATCTCCTCTACATATTTTTTTTATTTTCAATTCAGTTGGTCTGTAAACATCATTAAATTTCTAATTTGTTAACCTTAGCTGTTGCTACAAACTCAAGGTAGTGTAGCCTAACAACTGGTGCACTTTTTTATAATTCGCATTGCATTTTACAATCCACAATGTAATGCAAATAAAATTTACGCATTTTTATTACTAAATCGATTTTTTGCCATTTGAAAATATTACTAAAACTTACCTTTGGATTAGTGTACCTCAAAAATTGTCCCATGCTTTGTCTGGAGACTAGATCAAAACGTTGCATATTTGCAGTAGTATTTCTCCAACACAGAGATAACATGTTTAATTTTATGCTTACTTTCCCCTAAACGATTATTTTAATTTTTTATTAATTATTAAATACTTTTGTTAAATTTCACTATAGATATGTTTATGTTAATTAATTATATTTAGCTGGTTGTTATTTAAGCGGCCTTTTTCTTGCTGCTGGTGAACACTAAACAAAATAAAAACACGCCACTTTATACGTTCCACTAGAGGAATTTATGTTTGGTTTGTAAATATCCTAGTAGCGCATGCCTAGAAATGTTTGGTTTCTGTTACAAAATTACATAAAATTTATGAATTATTAAAAAAAAAGACGAAATGCTTACAAATTAGAAAAGGCTGTAAATAATAACAAAAAAGTGAAAACTAAACAGCTGACATTTTGACAATTCTTTGGCATAACATAGTAGGGTTATTAGTTTAGGATGAATGCCGTTAAAAATGAAAATAAAAACAAATTAAATGACATTTCGTTTATTTACGATTTGTTGTTGGCTGGAATGTTTTTGGTAATTTTTGTATTTTTTATCCATAAATTTTTTGTTTTAATATATTTTAAATTTCTGTTTATTTTAAAAAAGTTTTGGAATCGTCCCACTGCCTCGGCTAGACAATCTGCTTTGCGCTGCCGAGAACGTTTGGAACAAGATTTTATCGATAAATTAGATAGTTTGCATGATGGTGCTTTACGTACTGGTTTGGTGTCCCAAGAGGATTTAAAAGAGGCCTATTGTAAGTCTCGTCATATAGAACAAAGACCAAATCGTGTTAATATGTGGTATACATTTGGCATAATGGCTTTTGTTATGCTTCTAACACCCATAGTCTACCATATACTAACATTCATCCTGGGTATAAAGTGTTTTTTACCCAATAATAATTTAGTTTGGGAGGCGACACGACCCATCAGTGATTGCAGCTATTGCCGAGGAGTGCAAGGACCTTTGGTTTTGAAAAATATGACCCGGGAAGAATTTGCACCATATGCTTATTCCTCTTTACCGATAGTTATTAAAAAGGCCGTAAGTCATTGGCCGGCAGCTAAACTTTTAAATTTAAAGCTATTAAAGAAAATCTATGATAACCATCCCGGTTCTTTGGATGAAGATTGTAATTTTTTACATTTTCATTCTGATCTCAAATCGATAAGGGATGTTTTCAATATGCCCGAAGAAAGAGCTAATTTAAGCAGTGGCTCCAGTTGGTATGTTGGTTGGAGTAATTGTCATCTCGGTGTTTTGGATGATTTGAGGAAACTATATGGTAGGCCTCATTTCTTACCGGCAGATGCTGAAATGTCCAATATGGATTATGTGTTTTTAGGTTATGAACTGGGTTCTTATATGCACGTAAGTTGTGTGTGTGTTAGGATTTGCTATTGACATTTTGAAATTAATGACCGTTTTATTAATTTAGATGGATCATATACACCGTTTGATGTGGCAAGCCCAATTAAAGGGCAATAAAAGTTGGCTGTTGGCGCCAACACCTGAATGCGATCAAGTTTGTAATACTTTCTCTTTTGTTGCCGAGCCAGGAGATGCTGGTATGTATGCTTTTCTAGTTTTTATACAATTTATCACTATAATCGGAAAATAAATCTTAAAGTGTTACCAATGTGTCGGGATCACTTTCTGGTTGGGTATATAAACCGTAGGCGAAAAATACAGGCTTCAATTTTTAACATAAATGGATGAAATACGGTACATATGAAATTTTTAACTTCAGGACGAAGCCTTTTCAAAATAGATTAAACCAGTCCATGATTTCGTATAGCCTTCATACAAGTATCCTCTGTAAATAATATTGGTCGCTCATAAATATGTAGACAGAGTAGTTTTAAGGATCAAGAAAAAATCTTTGGTCTAAATCGAAAAATCTGATCCCATTAAGTTCACGTTAAAAACTACTTTATATTCAATAATTCTTATAGATTATGTCCTTTTGGTTTTTTGGAACACTGTAGTCGGTTACTCAGATAAAATTGTACTTACGTTTGGTTCATAGCTAAGCCATGGCACCGTAGAAATACTTTTTTCAAAAATCAGGCAAAATTAATAATAGACCATAATTCGAGGTATTTAGACAACTAGGGTGTAGGGTGCAATATGGTTGGTCATTGCCGACTATGGTTTTTTATTACATTAATTAAAAATTTAAATATTTTTCTTTTTAGTATTAATTGACACTCGCTTTTGGTATCATGGTACATCTATACCTAAAGGAAAATTTACGTTAACCATACAATCCGAATATGGTTAATTTGGCATCATGTGTGCTTTTTTCGAAATAATTTTTTCATTATTTCTAAATATTTAAATATTTTTAAGACTGAATTGTACGAATTTATGGTGTGTCAATAAACAGTTTATTTGTTTAAAACAATTACAATAAATTAAATTAAAAAATTACGGTAATTTAAATTTAAGAACAGAAAATAAATGACTTTTCAATAAGTGGACCAGTCACTTTTAGTCTATGTTAAAAAAAAACAACTGGCAACTTTACCAGAAACCTTGAATATGGCAGCTCTCACAACAGCTGAGAGTATTAATTTTTAAGTGAGATTTTGTAAATTAGCGTGCGGATTTTTCCTTTTTATAATTTTTCAATAAAAACTAAAGATCCTAGTGATTAAATTAAAATGTCTGGACACTTCAGACCACCCACATCAGCCCATGTATTGCGCAAACTAAAACAAATTACCCTGCCCAAGGAAAACGCGGTCTATATGACCAATCGTAATCCACGCAATTTGGAAAAATTACGTATTGGTTATAAACCTGATGGCTATCACTTGGAAAAGCCTGGACGCTCTTTCTGGCATAAGCTGGAGGTAAACATAAGTGGACGTTATGTTAGTGCAGAAGTAAAACATTTCGAAAATGGACCAGTAATCAGTGCCTCTACCGCCGAATGGGCCATCAAAAAGCAACTGTTCAAAACCAAAGATACAGCCGCCTTTATAAACTTGGCTAGAGTGTTAGCCAATCGTTGTCAACAATCGGGCATAACAGAAATGCTATGTACTATAGAAGCAGTGCCGGGAGGCAAATTGCATAAATTTCTTAAAACTGTAGAAGAAAATGGTGTTGTACTAAAAGAAGCCCCCCGTTATGTACACCCTAAACCTTGGGATGCTGAGAGACCCGAAAAGCCTTGGGAAATATTGGAGGAAGATTTAAAAACCCCTGCCAGTAAATAGTTTAATGTATAGTAATGTAATAGAACACTTAAACATAGTTTTTGTTTTAATAAATTCTTTCGAAATTTATTTCTGGTGTATTTTTATTATTTTCTTTTTGCACATTTTTTTTAAACTTAATACAATAATTTTAGCTAAATTTATTCGTATTTGTGTTTGATGTCATTCCAGAGTTTCTGCAAAAGATAAAAAAAAATTGAATATTAATACATTGACAATTACATAATAAACAGAAAGTGGGCATATGAATTATTTGCTTTTAACTTACGCCTTTGTTGGCAGACACGAAAATTTGATCGGAAATCACATCAAATGCGCGTTCAAAGAAGAACACTGAACCCATAATGGCTACAGCATAGGTGGAAGTTCTTTTGAACAAAGTATTGTAGATGATTTTCATGACGGAATCGTTTTTTTACACCAAAAATAAAAATTTAAGACTCGCAAAAATTTCCTGCGTGTTGCACAGCACAAAAAGATTATTTTCCAAGTGTCAAAATTAATAATCATTCACAATAGTTTTTTTTTTGTATAGAGTAGCCGGAGGATAAAATTTGCACTAAGAGGTAACAAAGCTGCCAGATGGTATTTTTACTAATGAAAATATATGTTTCAAAAGTGTATTAATACAATTTGTATATTTCTTTACATTTTTTATAGCTTTCTTTATACTATGAATTTTTTATAAAAATAATACATATACATATTTTCTTTAAAATAAAATCATTTTATTTTTTGTTAAAACACTTATTAAACTTGCATTTATTTTAAGGATGGCAACACTATTTACATGCTCTTTTTTAACGTCATCACATGTCATTTTTTTCCACAGCAATCCGTTAGCTCTCTTCTTTTTTTCTTCTATTGTATCTTTTAGATAGATTTTATTTTTCACAGACTCCACGACATTCCGGTTACTTTGTGGTGATAGCATTAATTTGTTCTTGCTGCAGAAATTATATTTCCATATTTTTTCTCTTAAATATTTAACAAAATTTAAAAGCATCACAAAATGGTCGAATTAACTGGCAGCTCCTCACCTTTTCAACAAAGTATTCCCAATTTGGTCTTCTATGTGCCTGCCGTAGTAGTCTTTGGGTTGGCTGGTAAGTGTTCTTTTTTTTTCCTCATTTCCTGAGTTTGTTTTTTGTTGTTGTAGCAACTTTCTTTGGTGATGTGGAACGAATTAGAAAGCATTTCATTGTAGTACTAATAACTCTACCAACTCTATTGCACACAATATTGATAATGAACAAAAAAAATATGAAAGCATCCCAAAACTAAGCATGTTTGTTTTCCAATAATTGATGTGTAGTTTTTTTTATATGTATGTTTTCTTATTATTTTAAAGTTATTAAAACTTTTATATATGTACCACCATTATGAGTTGTAGATTTTTACAATTCATTAAATATTTTAAAATTTTTTAATTTTTTTGATTATTAGGATTAAAAGTAGTAGTTCCTTAGTTAATTTTTAATTAACTGTTATTTATCATTCTTTAAAGGTATTAATTGTTTATATTTGTAGATTTAATTCGTTAGTTTTTAATTCATTTATTTAGTCAATAGTTCATATAAGGCAGTCATTGACTAGTCCATAGACAGCTCCGTAGACTAATCCATAGAATAATCAACAGCCTAGCCAATGACTACTCCATATACTAGTCAATAGACAAGTGTATAGAATAGTTCATTGACTATTCAATACACTAGTCAACAGACTAGCCAAAAGTATATCGAAAAGCTAATAAACTAGCCAATAGACTAGACCATGAAGTAGTCAATATAATGTCCAATAGTCTAGTCCATAAGCTAGTCCGTAGGTAAGACCATAGACTAGTCAATAGACTAGTTCATATACTGGTCCATAAACTATTTAATAGTTTAGTCAACAGACTAGCTATTAGACTAGTTAACAGAAAAGTCAACAGACTAGCCAAGATCTTGTCAAGTTTTCCATTTTGAACCCCATTTTTTTTTATTTTTAATTCATTTTGATATAGGAATCAATAAATTTAGAAATAAAAGCTGAACTTTAAATTTTCGTAAAGGATTTTAAAACTTTAAAACATTCTCTTTTTTACCATGACGCCACAGAAATTATGAAAAAAATCTATTATTCTCCAAGCATCAAAAGTTTGATTTCAAATCTATCAAATTTTGTCATCAATTATACTTATTTGCTAAGAACTAATTTGATTTTTCTAGAACGCAACAACAGTTTGTTGATATTTCCATTTCTCTCTTTAATATGGTAGAAATCTATGCTAATTATAGCATAGACAAAAACCTTTAGTCTTAAAGAAAACCGAAATTTAAAGCAAATATAGAAAAATAACAAAATTATCAAAAAAAAAAGAAAAATATCATGCAAAATTGCATCCTATAAGATTGTTCACCATAAACTAAGGTTCTTTGCCATATACATATGTATGTATTAATAACAAACATATGTATGTATAAGAGTGTAAACAACTATACAATGTGTTCCCCAAATTGTATATAACTTAAATTGTAGTCAAATGTATAACCCTGCTCTATTGCCTAATCCCTATAGAAATGCCTCCCAATATAAATTGATAATACCTGTATACATAGTAGTATGTGTGTCAGTTAATCTTATCAGAGCTCAATATTTCTTTATATATTGTAGTATTCCATTGATAAACCAC